TCAAGTTTTGCACGATTAAGCATCAATCAATTTAAGCATTTAACCTATCCACAGTTCATAAATCAATATCAGTTCTCAAATTTAATCATTATTGTCGGCCAAATTATCTAGCCCACATAAGCACACAACCTAATAAAAGAAAAGATGTATTTTATTTTATTTTTTGGAAAATTTTCAATTTTTTTAAATTTTTTTTGTTATTTTCTATTATATGCTAAAGCAATAGCGAAAAACAAACATGCAAACACTAAAAAACACATGAAAACTCAAAACTCAAATTTTTCCCACCTCCAAATCAAAATCATCCTTAATTTCATAAAATATAGGGGGATGGGAAAGAAAATGAATAAGGTACTCCTAAATTTTTCTATTGAATGTGTGAGGAGTATTTGTCAATTTATCCTAATTTGTACATTACTAAGCTCCTTTCGATATTAATATCAGTGGTACCTATCAAGAGGGGGGAGAAAACAATCAAAAAAATAAAAAGAAACTCATTTTGACTCAATTAATATTTTTCTTTAACTAGGCTAAATGTCAATGATGAAGATGACGCCCAAACTTAATCGAAACCTGCATATAACTAATGCAACCTATTAATCAAGAATAATACTATATACAATGCAATACAGAAAACAAAATAAATAAAAGGGTTAAAAAATTGGGTTACCTCCCATAAGTGCTTAATTTGTAGTCTTTAGCTAAACTATATGGAGGGACTGATCATTGTGGTTCAAGCTGGAGTTTATCAGCCTTACACCCTTTTCAATTTCCAGCTTTACTTCCTTTTTTTGCCTGTTAAACTTTGAATTTTTCATTCTCCTCTCGATTAATGCTTCCTACATTTTTAGGCTTTGTTGCTTCTTTGCTTTGCTTATATTCCTCTAATTTCTCATCTACTGTGGTACGTACATTTTCTTTTGTAGCAACTAGTCTCTTTACATTAATCTCTGACAGTTAAACTCTATTGCAGTTAGTTATTGCCTCAATTTGCTCTCCTCCACAACATTCACTGCCATTATCTGCTGTTTGAGATTTGTCTCAGTATCACTAAGCAGTGCTCTTTGTAATCTCTCTGAAAGTGCTTTTACTATTTGTCCCATCTGATTTTTCAAGTTCTTGATGGTAGCTCCTTGAACTTGCAAGGTTTTATCTGTTCTTTACATGTGTTAGGTAGATATCTCTACCAATTTAGTAACAAAATCATTTAACGAAGATTTATTTTCAATGCGCTGAAATCCTGATGGTTCAGTTTGCTGTAGTAGAATCTGAGCTTCTTAATTGATGCTCCATTGGAAACCTGGGTGAATCCTCCAGCCTAAGTAATAAGTGTTAAGATTTTGATTGTATCGCTATCTTTGAAAATTGTGAGCTTAATTTACATCCTCTACTGACTGAGCAAAAGGATTACACATGGTGCAGTCAACACTCTCATGATTCATTCCACAATGCTTACATTTTGGTCTTGCTATTTGAGTTGCACTCATCTGATCTACTTTCTATTCCAATGATGCCAACTGTGTTGATATTGCTGTTAAAGAATCAATTTCAAACAACCCATCAACTTTCTTTTCACTCGTTCTTTCAATAGGCCAAAGTGCACTAGTGAATGCCAAATCCTTTATGATTTGGAAGACCTGATCCGCTATTTTTTTTTGGTGTTAGAATCATCGCATGCAGAGTCTACGTTAGCCCTACTTATCAAATTTAGACCAATGTAGAAGTATTGTACTTGAAGTCACTTCTGTAATCCATTGGCGGAGAAAACTCTTTGTATTATTCCCAAGCTTCTGAATAACATTTCGAGTCCAATTGTTGGAATGTGATAATCCCGTCCCTCAGTTTTGTAATCATTTTCGGTGGGAAATATTTGTTAAGGAATTTCTGAACTCAACCTCGTCCAAGAAGTGATGCATTGAGGCGGAAAAATATATAACCATCATCTTGCCAAATCTTTCTATGCGTATGGGGATAGTCTCAGTCTGATTGTTTCACTAGATATCCCTGGATACTTGAAAGTTGCACACATGTCCAGAAATCTTGATATACGAGCATTGGGATTATCCATAACTCTCCAAAAGAGTTGTAGTGCTTTTTGGAACATGATAACATCAGTTCTCAAGTGGAAGTTTGCCTATCCAAACGCCGGATATACTATACTAGACTGACTTTCCGCAACCGTAGAACCATGTAATCCCCATTAGTCTTGCATTTTCATCGACTATGGGCATATTAGGATGGCAACACGATTTAGATTAACTCTTTCATGTCTTCCTTTATTCTGTTTTTATCGTGTTTCTAATTGTTCTCTTCTTCGAAATATGAATGAGCGTTCAATCTTTGGATCAAATTAATGAAATAAACTAAATAATAAAGCAATAATATTTAGATTAAAGCTAAAATTAACTAAAACTTATAAAAAATAATAGTTTCCTACAACGGCGTCAAAAAATTGATCCTTTGATTTCCTGCAAATGAATTAGATCGTGAACAAGTAATAAAGTAGTGAATAGAGTGTCGAACCCACGAGAACCATGTGTTTAATCGAGTTAAAATTAATTGTAACTTTAATCAAATAGCAAGCAAGTTTTGTGATTTTTCTATGTTAATCTCTAAATTATCAATTAAACCAGTAAAAGCCAATAAATGTGTTTTTCAAACACGTGAGATGTATTGCTAAGATATCGAATCCCCCTTATTATTCATAACTCTATCTCCCGATATCCGATTGAAGCAATTCAAAGTGCATTCAGAAGTTAACTCAAAGGGCTAGAACTTTGATTAAAAATATAATTTTTCCAATTCGGACATTTATTATGCCAAAAATTGGTCTCAATTTTTGACTAAAAATTTGGAAGATATTTTGTGTGATCGGAAATCGATTTATGGTAATATTCTAATCATATTCCATTCTTTTTGACTTCTAGTTGCATCCAATTGACTCATAACAATTTTAAAGTATCTATTGTGATCCAAATCAACCATTGTTGGACACGCCCACCAAAAAAAAAAAAGAAAAAAGATTAGGAACATGATTGTTACTTTTAAAAAAGATTAGGTTAAATGTGCAATTTATCCTTAAAAGAATTGCAATCAACGGCCAAAACTAATGCCCCTTTAGATAGAATCCATCCAAAACGACATTTACGCCACAATTATCTAAAAACAAATAGGACTAAATATGATTATTAATGCAGTTGCAAGCAAATCTTGATTAATTAATAAAAAGGATGGAAGGGTGTTTTATTAGTGTTCAAGTAATTGCTAAATCAAGCTGGCAAAGATTGGTCCCTTAATCATATTATGAAGAATTAACACGCAATTATGTATGCTATTGCGCCACTCATTTTTACACTTACTAAACAGTACAAGAAAAGAAAAGGAAAGAAAAATAAATAAATTCATGCCCCCTCATTTTTTTATTTTTTTAAAAAATTCATGCCAATAAGCACACCATGTTACACGACCCGCGCGGGTGACTGCACACACACATACACATGGAGGCGGTATTTTTTTATTTAGGTGGGACCCGTGCGCCATGTGAGAGTGTGGTCATCGATGCTGTGAACGGCACGGGTCGTTTAACAAAATTCTTTGTTAATAGCAAGAGTACTTGCCCATATACTACACAACTTGTTTAATGATAAATTTCCGGGTCGGGTTTGAAAAGACTGAAACCTTGTTATTACTGATGAAAGAGAAGTTGAACTTTCAAGAAAGTGATATAAATTAGAAAACTTGATAATTCAAATGTAAAATAGTTTATAACATCATACGTTTGATTGATACCAGAAATCACTGGACATTTCAAGCGGTCATTTTCTCTATAATTCTAACCTGGCTACCTAAAAATGACAATCCCTTAATCATATTATGAAGAATTAACACGCAATTATGTATTCTATTGCGCCACTCATTTTTATACTTACTAAACAGTACAAGAAAAGAAAAGAAAAGAAAAAAATTCATGCCAATAAGCACCTATTTTGTTAATAGGAAGAGAACATACCCATATACTACACAACTTGTTTAATGATAAATTTCCGGGTCGGGTTTGAAAAGACTGAAACCTTGTTATTACTGATGAAAGAGAAGTTGAACTTTCAAGAAAGTGATATAAATTAGAAAACTTGATAATTCAAATGTAAAATAGTTTATAACATCATACGTTTGATTGATACCAGAAATCACTGGACATTTCAAGCGGTCATTTTCTCTATAATTCTAACCTGGCTACCTAAAAATGACAATATTCGATTTACATTGAAATTATCTCATATTTGTTCTTATCCGTATTAATCTCATTTGAGTTCCACTCTTTTGATAAGAATGACATTTTTAAATAGTGTATTGATGAAAATTGTGTGGTTAAAAAAAATAAAAAATTTTGAATTTATGTGTAACATTATTTTATTAAAAAATGTGATTGAAATGATGTCAAAACATTATTTAAAAATGCATTTTGTTCCCAAAGAATGGACCAAACAGGGCTTTATTTTAATACGACTGCACATTTATGATATTATGCCCTTGTTTGAGTTCCACTCTTTTGAAAAAATACATTTTTCAATAGTATTTTGACATTATTTTAATCGTACGTTCTTTAATATAAAATAAGATTACACATAAATTCAAAATTTTTCATTATTTTTTAACCACACATTTTCCATTAATACACTATTTAAAAAATTCATTATTTCCCCCAAAATGAGGCTCAAACAAGGGCATTTAATGATCATTTTTCTTGTAACAATTGATGAAAAATAGTTAAAATGTGCAAAAAAAGAAAAAGAGCCACCCATTAACAGGTTTATGCATTTCTGTGTGTTGCGGCAGCGCGTGTAAGAGACGAACGGGAGCGAAGTGGTATCGTACTATTGCCACAATGTAGAATCAATTTGGTAAGTAATAAGAGGTTCTCCAATGATGGCGTAAAATAGAAATTTACATCTTCAAAATGGTTGAGAGATACAAATTGTATTTTTCGACAATCACATTCATAGAAGGTAAAAAATAAATTTAGATCTTCTCAATTCTCATTACAGTAGACTTGAAATTTAGATCTATCTAAATGTAAATAATAATGTAAAAATAATTTTAAAAATATCAATTTACATCCAATTTTAGAAACTTTGACAAAATACAACTATACAATTTTGCAGAGCTCTAAAAAATTATTGTTCTCATACTACAACCTCGTACAATACAACTACCAGCTATCGCCACCTACTGCAGCGGCGTTTATCTGACGTTTACTGTCCCATAATCTAACAACACTGCCATCAAGAACCGTTAAGTCCTGGTACTGATACCACCCCATATCTGCCATTTTTACCATCATCATCCTCTCCCAATCATCGCACCACCGTCCCATTTTCTCATATGTCACCTCTCTAGCACCGTTTCCGCCACCGTTGTCATCACCTTCGCCCGTCTTAAACTCATCCTTTTCACTATAATACAGCGTAAACTTCCCTTTCGTACTACCTTCTCTCTCTAAAACTCGGCACTTCTTATTTGATCCCGATAAATACTCGGTATCAGATTGAGTTGAAGAAACTGTGGCCACCTCACCGTCACCACAACCCACAGCCGCCTCCACCGCACCCTCATCCATCTTTAACGGTGACGACGAAGAAGTCGACACGCTATCTGGGCTTCGGGCACGTGTAGACAAATTTGAAGATGATGAAGCTCTGATCCTCCAGAAGCTAACGGCGGCAGTTAAAACAGCAATCCACGGCCATATACTGTTAACCGCCGTCAATAAGCCATAGCTCAAGTAATTAAAAGCTAGAGCTTCAAGCGGAGAATCCAATGAATTCATCTTTAACACCCCACCTCTCTCCCTCTATCTCTCTCTCTCTATCGCCCTTTTTTTTCTCTCTAGAAACTGAATATAAGGTCGAGTTTTTATAGAATTAACAGATGAATTATGAGCCGTATGATGCGATTTGAAGAGAGCATCTGATTATAGATGCTGAGAATCGAAAGAAGAGATGCCAATTGGTAATGTTTGATCCAATATTTATACCAGAATTTTCATAACAAGTGGACATGAATTGTCCTGTGCGAATGACCAGGTTTTTTTTTTTTTTACTGTGTAATAAATCGATCACGTGGGAAAGGCGAGATTTCTGGAGTTATTTAATTGGTTTGGGTCATTTACTTATACTGTAATTAATAATTATTACAAGCTAAAATTTCTAGAACTCCTATATTAATACATTTTCTATTAACTACGATCAACAATAGGTACCGATCATGGACTAAATAAAAAGCATTCAAGAACACGTAATTGCGATTTGTGTCGATTAATGGTCTTAGAGATAAGACACAGCTAAATACGGCTTGTTTGCAATTACTACTTTCGATAGACCAATAAATCGTTACAATATTCTTTTCTACGTCATCCACCATATGCTAATTGGTTTATAATGTTAATAATCATGACAAAGAACCGTTCAAAAATTTATAAATACTGCATTTATATTTTTATCGAAATATTTCCTATAAAGTAAAAGAAAAATGAGATTTTCTTTTCCATTTTTTTCTTAAAAAAGGCTATTTTCTCTCCTTCCCGCAACAATACATTGATTTAATTATATAAAAAAAACCCAGTTTATATTTTGCGTATTTTAAATTTTTTTTTAATTTTTCTTCTCAATAGAAAATAAAAATTGTCCTTCCCTAACTCAACCCCAGATTATCACACGAGTTTTTCGGGGTGTTTGATAAGCATTTTTATATAAAAATGTATTTCAGAATAGTAAATTGATGTGAAATGTGTGGTTAAAAAAAAAAAAAAAATTTTAATTTATGTGTAATATTATTTTAATAAAGAATATATGATTAAAAAGAAGAGAGAGAAAAATGTATTTTGAAAAAAAAAACTACCAAACGGGCCGTAATCTTTGTGTTGGTATGACACAACCTTCAAGTTTTATACTCAAGAAGGCTAAATTTTGACTACAATAAAAGTAAATTCAAACCTCTTGAATTTTTCATATTAGTCATTTGGTCAATCTTTATTATACGAAATTCAAAAATATTTTAGTCGAGTTTCAGAAATCCATGCATCCCACGAGGTGCATCAAGTGTAGAATCGAACGTGGGAACATAGGGATGGTTGGAAATATGAAAAGCAATTATTGAGTTTGTTAAATTCAAATGTTAGGTATGGTAACTTAAAGAACACGGCTAGCATTTATTATTTAGGGTGCGTAATTAATATAAAGGTTGAACCCCAACATTAAAGGCTCTCACCGTCTCGCTCTTAGAACTCTGTGAGGGAAGTAAATCGTGGGATGTGTTCCAACAGGTCAAGGAACAAGAGCTGCATGTACATTGTGTCTACAAAGAGTCCAATCCATATCTCAGGAATCGAATCCCTACACTGCGGCTGCCAGCAAGGCGTGAGATAACCTTACTCCTGTCCTTTGTACCACTGAGCTATGCCCTGGGGGCGGGTATGTAATTAATATGATAACATTTTAGGATGAGATTTTTGTGATCTGGTTTATTAAAGTGTTGCATAAAGTTATGTCTAATTTAATATTATTGCTCGTGACAAAAAATCGAGCATAGTTCAATGACAACTTGATATGATTTAAATTAAAAATTGAAAATTGTTTCAAAAGTCTTCAACATACTGAAATTGGCAACTCGAGCCTAATCTATTTAAGTATGTGGAACCTTGGTGCATCTTTGAGGATTTCTGTCCATTTTGACGTTAAAAAAAAAAAACATGTACTATTTGAAGAGCAAAATGGAATTGGACCGACGTACAATAGAGTTCTTTTACCTGCTTACCTTTTTGATTATGTATGTTACATCGATGCAGTTGGATAATATTAAGGAAGAGATTTTTGTCATATGGTTTGTTAAATTGTTACATACAATAATGTTTAATTTAGTATTCTAAGCATGTTGCTAGCCAGTGATTAAAAAATTGAACAGAGTTCATCGAGAACTTAGCGCTTGTCATGGGCACATTTGGCTAGATTTTTGATCGTTTGAAAGGAGAGTGAAACCCAGTTGTGTAGTAATTGCTGACTGCACATAAAGGAAATAATCGAAATTCCCATTTTGTAAAGAGGAATGAATTTTACGTGAAGGGACACATTGGTAATTTTACTTAAGTCAATCAAAAATAATGGTTGCCATCATTGACACACTGTACAACGGCATGAATTTGGCTAAAAATTTAATATAAAATGTGCCCTAAACAAGCACTTAACATGGTCATTACTATCAGAACTCGTATTTTGTAGCTGTTGCTAACATGTCGAAATTGGCAGGTCGGGCTTCATCTGTTAAGTTTATGGCACGTTGGTGTTTAAGATAGGATTTCCGTCCATTTTGACATTAGATAGTCACGTGACTCATACGGTTTACATTTCGAAGAGTAAAATGGAAGTGGAGGACCTAATTGCTTTAATATTCAGAAGTTGGGGGCCCTACTATAAGTAAAAAGTTTGAGGGTCTCAAAAGAAACTCACCACTTCACGGAATACTTGTGATAATGAACTGTTTTAAAATTTATAATTATTTCAGGTGTGAGCACCGGTCCGATTTCAAATAGAAGTGAACCAAACCATTCCCACCATATTTAAATTTTCATTGTCCTCATAATTTGAATAACTATTTTTATTCTCCTAATGTTTGAAACGGAACAACTATAACAAATGATAGGTTCAATTCTAATACAAAATGACAAACTTAGTCCGTCAATCAACAATAAAACCTCGAACTCTAAGTGTGCGTTTCATTGAAAGGAAAATAAATTTTAGGCAATTCAATTGTCTATTTGCATGAAAATTATCAATTAAATGTGTTTGATTGATTTAATTTTAAACCTAAAAAATATTATACTTATTTATTTTTTATTGGTGGGTAGCTGAGACAAAGTGAAAAGATGAGAGAGTGAATTAACTG